AAATAATAGGTCAATATTTCACCCCTGTGTGCTCTTATTCTTGGTGGCATGATTTTGCGCTCACCGCACTTTTTAGGATGTTGCATCTAAATTTCTCCTCCGAGTCACACGCTAGCAAAAGAGCGCAAAATGGAAGAAAGAAATAGAGAATATAGCGTATTAATGAGCACTAGTGAACAGTAATTTAGAATGAGTACATTGACCTTTTTGGACGTTTTTGGCTAAGATCGTACAACCATCATTTACAGAATTGCCACTTATTTAAAGAGAGAAAATGCACGTTACACAAAATTACATAGATAACCCTACTTTAATATGGATTGTACATGGTGTTGTATATATTTAGCCTTTGTGTGGCCCATGGACCTTTTGGGTTACTCGACCCGGTGAGCTGGATGACAAAGATGAGCGGCCAATCTTGTCACCTGACTGTTCTAGTAGGGTTATCTGAACATTTCACAATGCGGGTGTAGTTGGTCAGACAACCCTGCGAAGTCAGACGGATTTTGATGTCCCACATGTTGTAGAAATTTTCTGGTGGACATGGACGGTTAACTCGAGTTCCGGGAGGTACTTACTAGCTTCAACGACTCGGCTTTCGATGCTAGTCGATTTATTCCCTCTAGTTGTCTGAGTTGATTGTCATGAGTTGATGACTGACTGTTCGAGCCCCATGTGGGTTACTTTTTCAGTGGGTCCTGTATTGCTATGTCACGTCTTCTGTGTTTGTTAAATTCTTTTGAGATTCGTGCTAGCATGTTTTCGTGTATATATTTTTTTTATAAAAATGACTTCTTCTTTTAGGAATTTGTTTGCATAATGTATACAGTGCCACAAGCTACTTGAATAAAATAATGAAATGCTTTTAAAATTAATACGTGACAAAGATCTTCAATAATTGTTTTGACTTTGAGTGTTTATAATGTGTTGGGAAGTAAAAAAGATGAGCCTTGTGAGGGCTAACAAGCTAACAATTAAGGCATATGATTTTATCATATATATAGACCTCATAAGCATAATCCCTGCTGACTTCCCTTGTGACTTTAATAGAAAATAAAAATCAACCTTTTTCTTTTATAAAATAACAGGTCTCTTTTTGGCTTGACTTGTGCAAGTCATATGACACATAAAATATATTCATGCCATGGAAATGATAATTAGAGCAATATAATCTGACCCATTTTCATTGTATTAATCTTCTTAATTTTTTGCAAAACGAAACTGAAGTATGTTGCTTTAGTTTAGTTTAGTTTATTCCATTAACCTGTGGTGCAACTTAGAATACTCTTATCCTTGATCAATCTTATTATTTTATCATAGATTTAACATATATATATATATATAATGAATTTATATTTAATGTCTAAAATTGATGTATGCATTGAGGATGGATTTAATTATATCAAAAATAATTTTTTTTCAAATATATAAGAAAAAAAAATAAAATAAAAATAATAGTGATTTCAAACTTTCGCCAATTTAACATATTCTGAAATCTAAAATGAGTAGATTTACAAAAATTCTTACGTAAGCATCGAACCGAACTCAAATCTATCCTTATCGAATTAACTAAAGATTTTTTAGATTTGATGTTCCAAGTATTGCAAATTAATATATAAAAAACTCAATGACATTTTACAAAATAGATTTCAAAACTCAATGACATTTTTACTATATTTAAGTAATGTTAAGTAATGAAATTTTAATTTATATTAAAATCAAAAGTAATAATGATATTTATCACAAACCTTATAATAAAATAGCATACTATTAATCTATTTTTTATGTAACTAATAGAAGAATTATTTTATAAGATTAAACCAATCTTCAAAACAAACATCCATTTTACACACAAAAATTATTTTTTGGTTAAATCTATGATCAAATAATAAATCTTTATAAAAATAAATTTGAGAAGTGCTATTTTTTTTATGAATTAAGTGTTGTATCGATGCATGCAAATGAAGTTTTCTTTCATTTATCGTACATTTTGAGCAATCTGTTATGTGTGGTGCATCTGATGTTAGTAACATAAATAAACATAAATTTTATGAGGATAGCACGAAATATAGCCGAAATTAAGCATCAACTATGAATTATTTTGAGTAGCAATATGACATTAAAAAAATTATGAGAGAAAATGAGGGTCACGCCCAACTACATGGAATGAAATACAAAAAATTGCAACTCAATGACATAAGAATAACTCGCCCAAATACTCGAATTACAACTCTAAAAATAGATAAATAAACAAAAAACTAATAAATAATAGGTCAATAATGAGAATAGAAATAGAAAGGACGACAACCAAAACAATCAACTTCACCAATCAACAACATTAATTGGGCCAAAACACAACTTGATATAGAACAATGAGCACTTGGAAACAGCAGCAATGCAAACCAATCATCAAAGATGAAAGAGTTCACCCTTCCAACTGTAACCAACGAAAAAATCTCCCCAACGAAGGCAAGAGCTCAACAAATGTCAAAATAAAGCTCCCCAATTAGTAACAACTCCAAACCGCATCCAGGATCTCCAAAAAAAATACTAAAAATTAATAAAAATTTGTGAATTTATGCCATAGAAAAAATTTTACAGAATTTGAGAAAAAGCATATAGGATACAAATAGAAAAGCTAAGAAGACATGAAAAAAACTGGCTCTCGTGGATCCAGATTTTAACTTTTTTTGTAGCATGAACACTTTCTAATTATTAAAAGATTATTTGGAATTATTTTTATTTTTTATTTTTTCTATTTCATTGTGTTTATATTTTAATTTAAAATTAAATAGAATTGATAAAATAAAATAAAATTATTATTGAAAAAAACTCAAAATATTTAAAAAAATATTTTGAATGTTTTTTAAAAAATCTTAATTATTTTTAGAAATAAAAAACAAAAACATATAAAAATTATTTTGGAAAAAAAGATTGTCTCACAACAAATCCTCAGAGATGATCTTACATCAACATTTGTGTGTGTGTGTGAAGCAATCAGCTGCAGATCTTCAAATACAAAAGCTCACCTTTGAACTCGGTTCTTTAGTACGCCGAAGATTGCACTTTAAACAAAGGACGCTTCTTTTGAGCAACTGGTGGTGCAAAAGGTCGTCGACCCTGTAAAAAAGAGAGTAAAACAAGCAAGGAAACTCAAGTAAATCAACAAAACAAATTAAATAAATGTGAAGGTATTAACATAAATGATAAATATTTTCAATGTAAAAAAAGAGAACATTTACATAAATACGACTCAATTCTTATGTTCTTACATGTCACCTAAACTTCAATTTCTACATATACATCACCTTAATTATGCATGAAAATATGTATTTCATTTTTTAAAAGTTTAAATAGTAGTGCTTTTAATGTGATATAAGAGATTTAGGGGTTAGATACGTAAATAAATAGCAATTCAGTGGTATGTATGTAAATGCCCTAAAAATTAAAGAAAAAAAAAAGGTTAAAATTAACAAGCAAGTAAATGAATTATTATCCGATAGAATAAGAATATTGGAAAATCTTCAGAATCCCTAATTATAATAAGTCAAATAGAAGGCATGTATAATTATAAAGCTTCATAAGATTAAGACAATAAACAATGATATGATTATTAAGATTTCAAAATTATAATAACTTAATTCAATTAATTAATTCATTTTAACAATTTTAAAATATCTTTTCTAAAAAAAATCACTATTTTTGTAACTTTAAAGAGTAAAATAATTCAGTCAAAAGATTGAGATTCTAAAATGTATGTTAGAAGCAAATAAATGAACCTTTCGATGCATCTTATCTTTCTTGGCTCTCATAGCTGCGTTAATAGCTCGTGCGCGTACTTCTTCCCAATTTACATTTGATGGCGGACGCACAACGAAATCCAATGGTAATGGTTCTGGCAGAGAAGCACGTTCTCTAAGAGAAGTCTGACATATTTTTTTCCTCCTAAACCCAATGAAAAATTACGTGAGATGAACAAATAAACCGAATATTTTTGAAGGTATATGCAGCATCCAAAAGAACTTACTGAGAAAATTCATCAATATCATCGTCTATTGATTTCTTTTCTGGAGATTTGTTCGCATGTCTTCTAAATAAAACATTAATGGAGCCATAAAGATTAAGTATGATGTCAATTGATAAATCACTTAAATGTATATTAACTTTATAACAAAAAAAAGGAACATTTGCATGCATACCAGCCAGTTTTTCTATATTTACATACACCTAAACTTCAAGTTTCACACATATAAATGACATCTTATACATGCATGAAAAACATTTATTTCACTTTTTAAGAGCAAAAATAATGATATTTTGTATATGATATGAAAGATTTGGGTGATATAAATGTAAAATGTTAGGTGTTAGATACATAAATATATAAGAATTGAGTGGTATGTATGTAAATGTCACTAAAAAAAAAAGGAGGGCATTAGTACTTTGGAGCTGTCCTCCTATGAGGATTTCTCTCGTCCTCATAACTCCGCCGGTCCTCATATCTAGTGCTCTTGTTAAATATTGATCTACTCTGTAATATTTATAAACAAAATCTTAATGGTCAGTAATAACTATTTTAGGTACTCCAAATCAAAAGTATAATAAGACATTAAGTAGAACATGAAATTCCAAAACCCAAAATTGGACAATGACAACTGTATAAAATGAAACTAATCTTCATTTCTAGCAAACATTGTTGTTGATGCAAAACTCATCAATTTATAAGGTTTTCCTAAAACAAACTAACACAAATGCTATTATGAAAATTAAAAAAAAGGGGGTATTTACATGCATAGCACACAATTTTAATGTATTTACATGTCTCACTCCTAAACTTTCATATTTACACACATAGCACTCAACTTTTAATACCACATCAAAAATAACATTATTATCATATTTTAAAAATGAAATACACCTTTTCATGCATAGTTTTAAAGGAGCAAAGTGCTATGTATGATAGTTTAAATGTGAGATATGTGAATACAAAAGATTTGTGTGCTAGGTATGTAAATTTCCCCAATAAATAATAAGAGGATGTATTCTTTCACTTCTAAGAGAAATGGATAACCTAGGGCATAACAGATACATAAATTAGCTTCAAGAAAACAAGCAGTCTAACACAGAAAATCATTTGATACTAAAAATGACCAAAAGAAAATAGAAAAAAACTTAAGTTGGCATAGATTAGTGAAAAAAAAGGAATAAAATTTAAGAAATAAAAAATTATTATGTAGGCTAAGATTTCAAGCATAGAATCAGAATCCAAGTATGTGACAGAATAAATCCAATAGCATGTTGTTGGAAATGATGAAATAGAGCAATGAGAAGATAACCCGTAAAAACGGGTGCATAAAAACAAACATCTGCATTCTTGCACTCGAACACAGACATCATATCCTGGAAGAATTTTAAGGATCACACTTGAGCCAAAAAAGAATTTCACATCCAAAGAAATTTTCATTATAATATTTGTGAAACAGCCAAAAATATAAAAGAAAAAAATCAATGAATAAATCTAAATTTCTACTCTGCAATCAACTAGATCATAAAGTGCCAATAATTTGTTGCAAAATAACAAACTCTATAACCTTATTTGCTTAGTAGATTACAAATGTCAAATTAGAAGCTCGATCAGCCAAATTTGGACAAATTTCATACAAATTTGCAAGCTTATTTTGACCAGAAGCATAGCATCACGTAATAATATGAGAGAAGTTTATTTGTTGTCCTTAATAAATTTAATTTATTTTAGAATTACATTAGTTTGTTAAATGTCATTGACGGTGACCTTAAGTAACAATTTATTTGCAAATTCCTAAAGGTTGATCGTTATGGTTTGACATGAAATGAAGTTTATTTGGTTCTTGAATACCTTCAAGTTCAATTACCAAAGTTCAAACCAAGTACTAAATATGATTTCAATTGTTTTGATGTCATAACAGAAATTCAATTGTTTTGATGCACATCAGAAATTCAATTCTTCATAGTCAGATATTTCCGAAGTCCGGTAGATTTATGCAAGCTATGGCTTTTCATTTTCACAGAATTGAAGTCTCATCTTCAATTGTCACCATCTAATGACATCTATCGTTTGTCATTATGGTTAGCAATTTTCTTGGTATTGTCATTGTTCATTGTCACTATCTAAAGAATTTTTTGAAGTGAAAAACATATTTCGCGATGAACAATCTGCCCACGAAGTCACACTAATCAACCATTAGACACTCATTCTATAAAGAATTATTTTGAAGTGAAAAACATGTTATATTCATTTCTTGGGCTTACAAAGGTTAACACTTTCAAATTAGATATAAATCTCAACACTATCAATAGCTATTGTTATTGCTTAGGAACAAAATTACGGGAAGTGAGCTACTCAGAAATTATTTGAAGCAAGTACTTCAAATTTTTAAATTGCTATATTCGATTGAGCACCAAATTTGAAGGCAATTTGGAATATGTCTGGGCAAATAGCTGTTATGTCACCTCCACTCACTCATGAATGATTAGTCCATAAATAGTTGTTATGAGTCAAACTAATTCTCTTTGGTTGAATAAAAATATTTTCTTACAGTTTTCTACTTTGTGTGCAAATTAAGGGAGAGATTCCTAATTGTGTGGAGCTAATTTGACTGTATAACTAAGAGAGGAATCGTCAACTTAAACTAATTTTGAGGCATAGATTTCACAGTTCCATAACTTCTTTGCTTGGCTCAATTTCTTCTATATATATTATTATTGGCTTTTAAAAGCTCTTAATTTGGCTCAAGGTGACACTATTAAGGTGATAAATTACAATTATCATTTGATTTTGTAAACATTTGATTTTGTAAAGTTTATCATTTGATTTTGTAAAGTTCAAATTTCTCATTAATTTCTTCAAATTTATTCGATCATTACATTGTCATAAAGTAATTTATTGACTTAGTTGATGTTTTATGATCTAGAAATCATTTTAACTCCTTTGTGTGATTTACACCCATTACAACATGGTAATTGCATTAAGGAACCATAATCACATCATTTGTCCTACCGTAAAATATTTCTATCATAAAAAATGATTGAAAAGATAGATGTTCAATTTTGCTGACAACAAAAATTTTACGATTACTCTAAGCAAAGATCAAATAGATTCCAAAATAAGAAACGCTAATGACAACAATTATAATCTACTAAGTATGTCTGTCTTACCCATCTTTCAACTAATTCTTTAGCGAGCTTCCTATTAGCATTACACTCCTCATCATATTTTGATAGAAACATAATAACCTGTGCCAAGGAAAAACTAAATTTTGCATGTTATTTTTCATTAATTGAGGCATATTACAACTTTGTTGCAATGAAATTATGAGGCCTAACCTTTCCAAGGCCACTCTTCTTAAGTTGTTCCCTCTGATCATACTGCTCTAAATCAACTGGAAACTGAAGTCCAAAAAAATTTATCATCAAGAAGAGCAAGCAGATAAATAACTTGAAAAAAAAAACATAAAATCTTTCACGAAAATCTTTTCATAAAATGTACAATAAATCTCCGATTAAGTTAGTCAAATATACAACAAAATTAAAAATAATCTATGAGATGAGGGTTATACATACATCAGAGAGTAACTGTAATATTGCAGTTCGAATATTCATATTAGGTAAGCTCCCATCTGGCAAAGGTTCCAACCAATTCCTTAGAAGTGTAAGTATTCCATGATCTAAAAATTCGAGCTGAAGTTTCTTCCTACAATAGAAACGGTGCAAGGAAGGTTCAGAAAAAATCAAAATTTAATGAGAGTTAGCGAAATTATTATAGTGAAGTATTCAAGAGAATGAAAAACTGCTAAGCTGCAGGTATCTATCTTACTTAGAAAGGGCTTCTTGAAGAAGTGGTAGCATCTTGAGTTTATTAATAGCTGGCTTATTTTGCCTATTCAGCTCAACATCTTCTTCAACTGTAACTTCAAATTCAGCCATGAGATTTTCAACAATCATTGCAAGCTCAACGGGTGATGTTTCAATTTGCACCATCTTTTCACCAATCTTAAGGAACTCATTCGTCTCATTATCCTCTTCGGCCTATAAGTTCATCACAAATGTTAGGCATTAAAAAAAAATTGCAATGCATGAAGACCGTGTAAGTTATACGAGTGAGGTAACAAAGTAAATCAATGAGAGATTAAGTACAATATTTAAAACTTCGAGGAAAACATTAATAATAAAATCAAATCATAATTCGTCAAATGAGAAAACATATGACCCAAAAAACAAATTAGATAAACGCAAATGAGGGAAATAAAACTTGTGGAGCATCCCCAATAAATTCAGCTTCATTATCACTACCAATATGATCAATTTTATCAACCACAACATCATCAACAAAATCATGAGCATATGATGATGCTTTTGCTCATGATATTGGGGTTGATCAAATTGATCATTTTGGAAGTGACGAATGACGTATTGAAGTTTACAGTCTCATAAGATTCCCTATAAATATTTAAAATCCTAAGTTTATTCGATGTGATGAAGCTCCAACCTTACAAGCTTATCTCCAACAACTCCCCTAAGCATCTAACAAGTTCAAAAAATCACAACAAATGGGTCTTAATTGATAGCACTAGAAATGAGTCCCAAAGAGCTCAAACAACATGAACTATAAATTTAATGGCCTATACAATGAAATGGGGGCAACTCTCTTACATTTATTGGGCTAATATCCTCTTGAAATTTCAAACTAATAAAACAAGAAGAAGATAAAAAGGACATAACACAAGGTTCCGCTACAACTAATCAAAATTTTCTTGTCTAAACAAGTGTTTAACAACTCGTTTTGACTCATAACACATCAAAAATATCACTATTTTAACTGAAAGAAAATAAAATACACATTTTCATGCATAAATGCTATGTATGTAAAAAGTGAAATTTGAGTGTTGATTGCTAGATATGAAAATACATAAAAATTGACTGATATATATCAAAATATTCTAATATGTTTGTCTCGTCCCTCTCCTTAAACTTTGTCTCCCCCCTCAAAAAAACAAACATTTTCCAAAAAAAAAAAAAAAAAAAAAAAAAAAAAAAGAAAAAAAAAAGATGAATCAGTTAGCTAGCAGTAAATCTTCACTTTAGCAAATAAAAAAACTCAGACCTCTAAATCATGACCGGCGACATTGTTCCAGAATTCGTGCAGCTCAGGATCACTTTCATGATCAGCTGAACCAACTCCATAACCCTTTGATCCGGAAGAAGATGCTTTTGCACCAAATTGACTTTCCTTTGGCAACACTTTTCTCTTCTTCTTTACGCACAACTCCTTCCCTTTCTTTCCCGACGACGACCTTCTTTTCTTCAGCGGTTCCTCCTCTTTCCAATCATCCAATTCATCACCACCAAACGCCTGTCCGGCTGGGTTCCCGCTACGTTCGGATAAGCTCTCGGCAGCGCTCTTCTTCACCAACCTCTTCCTCGGATTTCTGAGCTTGTTCTCAACAGGCGCCGGTGTGGGCGAAGGTTCAATACGCCATTCGTCGCCGCTTTCAATGTCAAATTGATTTCCGGTGTAATGCGAGGTCTGCCTATCCGAATGAGTGCCATATGAATCCATGAGCGCCTCCCCGCCTTCATCTATGTACCTGGTGTATAGAAATGCTAAAGAAAATAAAAAAATATACAAACATTTTGCTGGAAATTGCTGGAAGAATGGTTTGTAAGCCCTATTAATCAAATGCAGCACGTACGGATCTTTATCGGAGCCCATTTCAGATTTAGGAGGCTAAAATTCACAAAAAAAAAAAAAATCAAATGTCTGCTCTGATGAACAAATCTCGCGTAGCTGTTTTCCTTCTGGGACAAGGGCAAGATGAACGCTCGAATTCGAACCTCCAATGTAGATACTCCAATGTTGATATGAATCGATCGATATGAATCGATCTTTGCTCTGTTTTTCTCTGCAATTAGAATCTCTTTTTCCTCTCACCTGCTCTTTCATTAGAGTTTTTCGCGCCATGGAAGTTGCTGAAGAATCGCACTTCCGAGCTTAAGTGGCAACGTGCAATTCGAATGCGTGTCGGCAGCGCGAAGGAGAAGGCCTCCGTCTCCGACGCCGCAGCTCTGTTCGCCATCCATTCCCTTCTCTGCTTAACTATTTGGGGACATTTGCATCCATACCACACAATTCTCATAGATTTATAGGTCTAAGGTTTATTTCAAGGCCCACGCATTCATATTTTGGATGATTATGTACGGACCACCCGAAAAATCCATATATTTACAAACTATCCAACTGATGATTTTCTATTTTCATATAAAAATTTACGTAAATAAACTCAATTTAGATAATTAAATATCTTTTGTTTTTATTTTATATTTACATTTTATTTTGCTATTATTTATTTGAGATAATTTTTTTATAGGTCAATATATTATTATTTTTATTTATTTTCGTGACAACAAGTAGAAGTGCGCAACAACAGAAGAGTGATGTCAAGTGACAGTTGGTGCAGATGGTGGCCCAGTGATTGAACATTTTATTCTCACGTCAAAAGGCCTAATACTCTAAATAAAAATAGGATTTGTTAAATAAGATAACATTATGTATATTAATATGATAAAATTTTTAATAATAATGTTGAATCCCAAAACGTTACTTGGGGCATGCCCAAGCGATAGAGCGTTAGACGTGTAGATGAGAGGAATAGGTAAATAAAGAAAATAAAGTACAGAAAATAAAACACACACTAAGTTTTCTTAGAATTTTTTTAGCAGTTTCGTGAAGAAATGACCCCTTATTTATAGGTGATAGGTGAAACCTAATAAATTATATGTTTGTCGTTGATTAAAGGGAAACATTACAAGTGATTAATGAATCATTATACATTTACATATTTGCAAATGAAGTTTATATCTTTTGCCCATCATTGTTGGCATCGTTTCGCCTTTGTAATTGTTGTTGGAGTCGTTCGCATTCGTAACTGCTCAAACGGGTCGCCTAATTTCACTCGGTTGGCATTCTTGAGGGAACTCCAGGTGAAGACATCATTATCCTTAGTAAATGATAATTTCATCTGACAAAGAGTGCATCACCATAATCTGATGGGTAGTCTTTCTTTACCATAATCTGATGGGTAGTCTTTCTTTGAGCAAAATGTTTTCACAGAGGGTTGAAGTGTTCTATGGAGCGATCGTTGATCCACTCTGAAAATGTCCCAAAACCTGTTGAGTGGTCGATTTGGTACGATTGTTTATTTATCTTCTTAAAGATCAGATGTTTTATGAGAGAACTATGCACATTGATGTTCATTATCATTTTTTTTGTGAAGTTATCACTCGCCGTGATAGTATTGTGAGCAAGATCAGTACTCATGATAATCTTGCGGATTTGATGACTAAAACACTTTAAATAGCCAAGTTTGAGCATTGCTTAGACCTAGTTAGTATTCATTTGTGAGCGTTAGAGCTTTGTGGAATAGGTGGCGAAAGTTATCTTCTATTTTCATTGAAAATTCACCCCAAGGTAATTTTTGCTACATTTATTACCCGAACTTTGTGGGCCCTGTTTATCATCACATAAATAAAATTATGTTCGCACGGATTAAGGCTCTAGAGAAAAACTATGACACGCGGATTGAATGTTTCAACAATTAGAACAAACTTAAAATAACCTTTAGATTGTAATCTGTGCGCTCTTCTCTATTTTATCTCTTCTAGTTATTTACTTTAAAGGATTATTGCTAAAACTATAAATATCTCTACTAT